TTGTTATCTTGTATACAAGGTGGATGGGCTCAGAGCTAGCTAGTGGGCTAAATTATTGGTGGAGAAGCTCTAATACAATACAACATTCGTAAAAAAGCAAGAGTAACCAAATGCGGCTCTCATTTAAATTGTATATCGTTCTGATTTTTCTAGATATAATGTATATTTAAATGAATTGCAAGAATTATGTACCTAAATTATTAATAGATTAGAATACAGGAAGTACAACTGTAGATAAGTTTCAAAAGCCAATGCATCTATATTCGTTCAGAGATTTCGAAATTGGAGCCCACCACAAAATCCATGACTGTTCTTGTGCCAGGCTCTAACCAGAGTTATACTATAAAACAGTGGCCATGGAGTGACAGAGCATCAACCCTAATGATGTTGCTTCAGAGCTTATGCAACTAGGCATACTTAGCTCTAGACTCTAGTAGATATTTAGCCTTGATTCTTTTTTCCTCTATTCTTATAAGCCGTTCTGGATTTTCTAGTTTTAGCTATGCATATGTATATACATTATGTCTAGGCATATAGTAAAAAATTCTCTCTCCATTCCAAATGAATCTAGACATATACTTCTAGCTTTTGTAAATATGTAGCTTTTGCTATATACTTAGACATATACGATGTCTAGTAGATACATAGTAAAAAACAATGAATCTAGAAAAAACCAAAATGTCTTATAATTTAGAATAGATAGAGTATGTATCTACAAAAGTTGACTTACAATTTGAAATGGAGAGAGTACATACATATTCTGCTATGCTTGAGAGATGGTTATGTGGTTCTCTTTGGATCTATTAGCTGCTAATAATCAATAACTAGCTAATAGCTCAAGCTAACATTAGCTAGCTAACTACTTCATCTGTCTCAAATTATAAGACATTTTGATATTTCTAGATTCATATCATTTGATATGTATGTAGACATAAAATATATCTTAGGTGCATAGTAAAAGCTATGAATCTTGAAAAATCAACACCATGTTCGCTTGATCGTATCAGCCATGCTTATCAGTCGTGATAGTATTTTTCTCTCACAACAAAAATACAGCATCAGCCGACTTATAAGCCACATAAACGATCAAGCGAACATGCTACAAAACGTCTTATAATTTGGAACGGAGAGAGTATTAGTTATTTGGTCTAACTAGTTGATAGTTATAAATGAGTATTAGCTAACAATTAGCTAGATCTATTTAGATTTAAATAAGCTAATTATTAGTAATTGTTAACTTCTATTATCCATGAATTCAAACAGCACCGAACCATCCCTTTCTTGGCCTCATCGGCGCAACAATGTGAAAGCCCACGTGGCCACGTGTGGACGAGCACGGCCAGGCAACGACATGCCCTAGATGTGCGGGCCGTCAGGTGGTGCAGCACGGCAGCTGAGGTTATACCAATGTCGGCCTATACAGGCACCAGATCGAGCGGAGCCCTGCCCAGGCAGGCCCATCATGAACAGAGCCACATGTCTAGCCTGATCGCTTGCTTATAAACGATGATAAATTTCTAGTTAAAAATAATGTTTTTCTCTTATATTAAATCAGCCAATAATAAATAATTTATGATACAATACGGTCTTCCGAACATGCTGGCATGGAGCTGACTCGGGCCTGTATGAGTCATGTAACTCTGAGAAGCACTGAAGCACTGCCATCATTGCGTGTGTATGTCGTGGGCACAATTTGACAAGTCGAATCGGAAACGCGTGTGTACACATTTCTATGCCACAATCTTTTGCGTACGTGAAGGTGAAAGCGCGCCCTCGAACGACTTCATGAACAAGTGTACTCGGTTGTAGTTGTAGGCCTGACCAGAGCCGGACAAAATACTCGTAGCTCACTAACTCGCTGGCTCGGTTCGGTTTGTTTTAATTTTTTACAAGTTGAGATGAAAGTCTAGCTTGCTGTTTTAACGAGCCAGCTCGTGAGTTGCTTACGAGCTGAAACGAGCGGAAGCATATCAGCTCATGACCATGAATCCAAAAAATGATGATGCTGATATAGAAATGTCAAACTATTCTATTGGTATGTAATGTTTATTTTCAGCTGTTTCATATGAATTTTGATTTTATAATTGTCGTGGTACTTAAACGTTGATTTATGGATTATTTTCCAAGGAGAAGATGGTGATGTTGATATTGAATTTGTGGACTTTCTTAAGTCTGAGGTGGCAAATAACTAGTAAGTATGTTGGAACTACATGGATCATGGATGGATCAACTATGTTGCATGGTTGATACTTTTGGTGAACCTGATGTGTATTAATCATGTATGGTTGCATAATAGTGGACGTGACCTTCTGAAATTAATGTAGTATAAATATTATAAACATGTGTGTCCTATTTTTTATAGCTTGCGAGCTAAACGAGCCAGCTCGAGCTCGCTAACGAGTCGAGCTGAGCTACACCTCGAGCTCGTAATATTAATGAATTGAGCCGAGCTAGAGCTGGATTCGATATCCAGCCCTAGGGCTGACCATGGAAATTCATCGCTTCTTAGTTCTGAAATGGACCGGATGAAATTTACGTGCCACTCGTAGCGTTGGTACACTCCTCGTCGGACATGCATCACGTGGAGCGGCTCAACAAAGCAGTCGTCAGACGAGAGATGAATCACTGTTCATTATTGCTCATTTGATCTACTACTGTTTATTCCCGTTAATCTTGTTTCTTGCGTGCAGTCTTTAACAAAAGCTCCGTTGCTCGTGAGCTCGTCCGCCGAGGCCTCCATTTCTTGTATCCGTCGGCCTCTGCATCGCTCTCGCCTCTCGGCGGGTGACTTTTCTTCTACCGGGTGCTCCCTCCCGCAACGGCACGGCGGAGCTGCGCGATCCGATCCGATTCACGCACCCATGATGAACCACACAAAAAGGGAGAAAACCAATGCCGCACACCGAACCCAAACAACCTGTTGGCACTCACGTCAAAAGGGCAAGGACTAAGGACGGTTTAGATCATCTCCTTTAAATTTTAGACCTCTAAACTTTAGAGCTAAAGTTACGGACAGATGATTTCTCTAAACTTTAGTTCACCTCACATTAAGTTTTAGACTTTAAATGTAAGCTAAAGCATGCCCTAAATTCGGGGCGTAGAAAAACCACCCGTCCGAAAAAGACAAGGAGGCAGCGATTCCATATTTCCATTTCATTTCCTCGTCGTCTCCGCTTTCCCAACCCCACGTCTCCCTCCTCACCCTCCCGAACCCCCGACCAAATCCCATCGCGGTCTCCGCCGGATTCGCCCGCCGATCCCCTCCCCAGGCGATGGCGATCGGGCCCAATCGCCGCCTCCCCCTGGCGTTCCGGCGGTTCGGGATTTGCTGATAGGACATTGACATTTAGAGGCCTTATTAGTTGGTGGGTTGTTGCTGGGTTGATCCAGGGAATCTGGTGCGGGGCGCCGGCCGATTGAGCTCGCCGGGCGGGTTTTGCGAGAGCGGGGATGGGGCTCCTGTTCGTGGAGTCGCTCCCGGGGCCCAAGATGTTCAGGTGCAAGTACTGCAGGGTGCACTCGGCGTCGCCGGACGCCATCCTGTCCAAGGACTTCCGCGGCCGCCACGGCCGCGCCTACCTCTTCGACAGCGTGTGAGCTGGGCCTGTCCCTCTCTCTCTCTGTTCCCCCACACTTTGACTTGTCGCTGTTCTCTGTCCGTGGATTGTGCGATGGCTGCAATGCCGTTAGTTTAGTCTCTTGTAGTTTCAGTTGCAGGAATTTCGAGCTAACTAGTTAGTACAACGAAGAGAGTATTGCTAGCTTTCGCCAGGCACTGTTACTGTTTAGAGCTGCATCGACTAGCTACCTGAATTGCATGAACGCTGCCTGAAAAATGGTATTCTTGCCTGAATCCTGTTGGTCTTTGGGGTAGAGGGATGATGGTTATCAAATGATGCCTTGTGCAATCAAGCTATAAGACATGAATGTGGTTCAGGGCATGTGATACTCTTTCTTAGATCATATCGATAATGGATCGGAGGACTCTATTCCTGTTTGGATGTGAATAAATGAGTTATGCAACACACAAGTTTACATGAATCAACATTTTGTTTGTTCTCGTTATGGATTAGTCTTATGGATTTATGGTCATTAGTACTAGAAATTGTTGATGGTGGGTTATAAACTTAAGGTTCTGGAGGCTATGAAGACAAACAACACTTCTGATTTCACATGGTCAATAGGACCCTGCTTGATAGGGAATAGAGATGAACACTCAGATATGACCTTTGAGAGCTTGGTCAGGGCCATTTGATTGAGACCATGAAGCAATGCTCAGGCCATTTTCTGCTCTTTGGTGCTAACCCATGACCCAGTATGAATGACTTGTAGAGCATTAACACCAATGACTTGTGAAGGCGTCCTTAAGGACTGGCAATGTTTTTTTAGGCGCTAGGCGGTTTCTAGGCGGTGACCCATCGCCTAGCGCCTAGGCGCGCCTAGGCAGGCCTAGGCGTTTTCTAGGCGTTTTGACATTTTTTGTATCTCAGCATATATAGCTAAATAAATTATATAAATATAGTAGAGTGAATTTTATAAAAAGAGAGAAGGTCCAATAGACATACCTTAGTTGATAGAAAAGCGATGTTCATGCTTAGTTCATAGTTGATAGTTGATACAATCATACAATACCAATGTGATGTCCTGCAGGCTGCAGCAATACAAGTGGAGAACAGACCATATCAGTAGTTAAATATAAATGGACAGCAGACCATATGAAATAGGAAAGAGCAGGTTAGGTACTTATCTCAATGATCTTAGCCCTTTCCTATCCATCGGACATTATCAGCAGCAAATGATAGCCATTTGAAACCACAAACATGTAGGGATAACAGTAGCAGCAAAGAAAATTAAATGGTACATAACAACACATATTTCAGTTCTTAAAATACAGAACACAGGCACACAGACTGCACTACTGCAGGAGTTCCAAGTTCATAAGTTAAAGATACAATTAAAAGATAAACATGACATGATAAAGCCCCACTGCCATATCTTCTTCAATAGGGTTCCATATATTCATCCTCATCTTCATCAAACTCTTCTTCTTCGGAGTCAAATTCTTCTCCTTCATAAAGCTGCCTCACTCTTGCACTTCTACGCAGCTCAAGTTGTTGGTCTGCTCCTACTGCTTCTCCAATAACAGACCAAGTTATCCCTGTACCTTCCATCTCCTCATCTTCCTCATCTCTATAGACAACTATTGCACAATCATCTCCATCCTCATACAGAAAACCTTGAGCTTCAGTTGTCTCACTAGACAAGAGAACATCAGTGGTTTTCTTTGACGCTATCCTTTCTTTCTTATTAAGCAACTTGGAGTTGAATTGAATAAAGACCAATTTGTTGAGTCGGGTTGTAGTAAGCCTATTTCTCTTCTTAGTGTGTATCTACAAATTAAACATGAGAGCATATAACTATTTTCATTCCTGTAAGTTTACTGCTGAAATCTGGACAGTAGATAGGGACTAACCATTTCAAATGTACTCCAATTTCTTTCACAACCAGAAGAGCTTGATGTCAGAGATAGGATCCTTGTTGCCAACTTCTGTAAAGCGGGTGTTTCAGTTCCATACAGCCGCCACCAAGATGCTGAAATAAATGAGCAGAAACTATATAACAGCCATGCAATAGCACTGGATAACAAGATGTTGGTGTGCTAAACTCATCATTAAACTCATCAATGTAATGTATGATACTGCAGGTCATTGCCTGGTAACAACATCACTGGTGGCATACCCAAGCAGTTTGGCAACCTCTCTCGGTTGACAAGCTTAGATTTGGAAGACAACCTGTTCAGTGTTGCAGTTCACCGGAATCTTTTAAGATTGATTGGTTTCTGCACAACACAAACAGAGCGCCTACTTGTTTATCCTTTCATGCAGAATCTTAGTGTGGCCTACCGTCTGCGAGGTACTCTCTTTTTTTAAGTCTTAACTAGCTAATCACTTGTTTCATTGATTTAGTTCTGTACTGTTACTACTCTATGAAGTTACTTAGACCATGAGTGTGCTTACAGATTATGCAACTCATGTATTTAGAAGCTAGCATAGTGAGTTACTTTTTCATAGGCCACTTAAATAGTTAACAGCCATGGCAATCAAGGATAGATGCCGAGGTACTTTTTCATAGGCCACTTAAATAGTTAACTAGCCTCTTGATAATGATAATGATAGCAGCAACTCTATAACAGCCATGTAATATGAGTTACCTGGGTTGTACTCAAATTTTTCACAAGTCTTTGCAAGCTTCTTGTTAAATGGTCCTTCTCTATTACGAAACTTGTCTAGTTCAGTGTTGACGGCCTGATCTTGCTTGTCCAACACAAGTCACTTCATCATCCTCAGTTCCAACCCGAGAAACATTCACGTCTTCTCTAAGCTCTAGTTCACGAACAGCCTGCTCCTTCCTCTTCCTTTTTGAATCTTCTAGTGATTTCTTGCACTTGTCTTTAGCCTCCTGTGTGCTCTTCCTGCATTTGTTCCAACATTGGCCACATGTTCCTTCAACCGATGGACCCCTCCTTGGCTCCGATGACCACAGAATTTGCCCTCCACCTTGTCCTTGTTGTTTGCATCCACTAGAAACCCATACTCCCATCCAACATCATCTGAATTCCTTTTCAGGACATTCACCTCCTCCCGAGATGTAACACCAGTTTCAGTTTGAGGAGCACATTGTTGGACCGACATTCTACATGAAGAGCAGCAGAGGCATGTGAAATTAGTCCTGCAGCACTACTTATAAATTTAGATAAAAAGCCACTGAGTATTTCATTCCCCTTATGAAAACTAATCCAGCAGTTTAGAAGATGCTCTAATCCAGCAGTTTAGAAGATAACTTGTACTCCTAAGATTGATAACCAGGTCATGGTTGTTAATCGTTGAATTCTCACTCTTGGTAGTAGGAGAATTCTTACTCTCATCGAGAGAAGATGACACTAGGAGTTGGGGCAATTTTCTTGTCTATTTCTCACACAAACTCACACAAATGCCATACCAACCTGAGGGGTTGGGGTTACATATTTATAGGCTGCTAGCCAGCCAAGCATATGCCAAGATGCTAGTCTAAGATGCTAATATGCTGTCCTAGCTAAGATGCTGTCCTCTAGTCTAAGATGTTGTCCTCTAAGATGCTGTCCTCTAGTCTAAGATGTTGTCCTCTAAGATGTTGTCCTCTAGTCTAAGATGTTGTCCTCTAAGATGCTGTTCTAAAAACAGAAAAACAGCCACAAGGACTATGTGAGTAGTACAGCCCCACAAAGACCCGACCACACATGAGACTTATCCATCATTCTCCCCTAAGTCTTGTGCGTGCGTCTTATGGGAGAGTTGAACCATCCGGTCCTGGAGCAAAGTGCTCAAGGAACTTGATCCTCCCAAGGGGTTTGGTGAGCAGGTGTCCGCAGGCTGGTCCTTGGTGTTGATGTAGCTCGCCTTGATGCTCCCTTCCTCCAAAACCTCGGATGAAGTGGTACCTCACCCGGATGTGCTTCTTTGCGTTAAGTGGAACACGGGGTTCTTTGCCGGGGCAGGCGGACTTGTTGTCCACACCGAGCTCCACCGCTCTAGTGTCTCTGCCGAGGAGATCACCAAGCAATCGAGCGAGCAGGCGCTGAGTCGAAGCGGTGGAGGCCGCTATGTACTCGGCCTCGCGGTGGACAGGCCACCACCTGCCGCTTGACCGATCGCCCACTAACGAGGCACTTGCCGAGGAAGAAGAGGATCCCGCTTCGTGCTCTTCTTTGGTGTCGATGTCGCCGTGGCGTGGTCATTTGTGCCCGACTCCGACGAAGTGTGCCGCCCCTGTGGCACCTCGGGTAGTAGAGGCGTGGTTGAGAGTCCCCGCAACGTAGCGGATGATCCTCTTCTGACTTCTTTGGTGCTCCGTCGTTGGTCATTTGCATGAACCGACTAACGAGCCGACGGAGAATGCCAAGTCCGGCCGTGTGTGGGCGAGGTAGCGAAGGCTCCCCACAAGACGCCGCAGATGCTGCGTGGCGCCCACCTCCTCCTCCGTCGTCTTTGTCGCGGCTCGGCCTTGACCTCTCCTCCATCGGAGTGAGAGCTGGGTTGCGATCGGTGAGCCCGGCTAGCTCAACGACGCGCTTGGCGAGGGCGGATGCGTCAAGCGTGATCCCGAGTCATCTGGTGCACCTCGATTCCCGTGTAGAAGAGAGAGGCCCCTGGTCACTCATCCGGAAGGTGGCCTTCATCTCTTCCGTGAATGCCGCCACCTCCACATCCTTGGTGTCGGTGATCATCAAGTCGTCGACGAGACACCCACCGCCAGGCATTTCCTCCATTGCCCCGTCGGTAGATGGTCGCCTCGTGCGGGCTTTGCTCAAGCCCATCCCCTTTAGCGTGGAATCCAACTTGGCATTCCACGCCCTCGTCTGCTCCGCCGAAGCCATAGAGGGCCTTTGCGCAGCGGAGTACCTGCCCTCCTTGCCGAGGATCGCAAATCCCGCCGGTGGTGCACGTAGACCTCCTCCTTCAAGTCACCGTTATGAACGCCGACTTGACGTCCATGTGATGAACGCGCCGACCCTCCGTGGCAGCTAAGCGCAAGGAGTCGCGACGGACTCCATCCGTGCCACGGGAGCAAAGCGTCGTCGAAGTCGACCCCTCCCGCCGCCGCGAAACCTCGTGCCACCAAGCGAGCCTTGTGCTTGCTTGACGATGGCGCCGGCTTCATCCCTCTTGACTTGTACACCCACTTAAGGGTGATCGCGCGGTGGTACGAGGAAGGTCAACAAGCTCCCAGTGCGGTTCTTCTCAACCGCATCCATCTCCAATCGCATCATGGCGCGCCATGCCTCGTCTCTCGGCCTCTGCGAACGGCACCGAGGCTCGCCCGTAAATCACATGCAAGGTGCAATCGCGCCTCCAGGTCCTCCAGGTCGTGAGGCACCAGTCCCGGCACCAACTGGTCGCCGAGAAGGTTCTCCATCGTGACGGTACCGCAGCGGCTCGCCGTCGTGTAAAATGCGCGTCGATCGCTCCTCGTCGTGAGAGAGCGAATAGCGAAGCTCAACGGGCTGTGCTCGACACGAGTGGTGTTGAAGTAGACGTGCGGAGAGGTGCTGTCGGTGTTGGAGTGCGTGGCGTTGCTTACCGTGGTGAAGTGGCGAAGAACTCATCGCAGCCCGAGGTCTGGTTTGGAGAGCGTGGTCTTTGTCGAGTAGCAGTGGCCGGGGTCGGTGGAGGCTCGGGGGGATTGGGTAGACGCGCTTCGCCGAAGAAGAGCCGCCTACTCCCCGGCTCTCCTCGAAGTGGACGTACTTTCGGCGGTGAAGTCGCCGACACGTCGGAGCCGAGCCATAAATCCACCGCTTGTCCCGCCCATCATCTCGCTTTTTCGCCGAACACAACGCGCGCGCGCGCGTCTGCGCCGCGTGTCTCTTGGTCGAGGATGCGGTAGCCTCGAGCCCTCGCGTGGCCGATGAACACTCCCGAAGTGCTCTCGTCGTCGAGCTTCTTGATGTGGCCAAGCTCCTTGGCGAACGCGAGGCGTACCAAGACCCGCAAGTGGGAGACCGCCGGCTTGCGCCCATGCCAAGCCTCGTGACGGCCGTCCTGCCGAGCGCGCTTTGGTAAGGCGAAAGCGGTTGAGGATGTAGACGGCCGTCACCACCGCCTCTCCCGAAGATAGCCGGCATCCCCTCGCTTGAGGAGGGCCCGAGCCATCCCCACAACCGTCTGGTTGCGCCGCTCGACGACGCGCGCTGCTGTCGCGGGTTGTACGGCGGCGAGTAGTGGTGTATTGAATGCCCTCATCACAAGAATCGACGCGAATTCAACCGCCGTGAATTCGCCGCCGTTGTCGGTGCGCTTAACACGCGCAGCTGCGCCGCCGACTCGCGCCTCAGCAGCGGCGACTGCTGCGCGCTTAATGGCGTCCATGACCTCTTCTCCCTTGTTGCCGAGGACCATCACCCACATGTAGCGGGAGAAGTCATCGACGCAGCGGCAGGAAGTAGCGTCGTCCTCCCGGTGTGGCGGTGTCACCGGGCCACACAAGTCCCGTGCACGAGCTCGAGCCTCTCCTTGGCTCGAAAGCTCGCCCATTGGGAAAAAGAGTCGCCTCGCCGTCAACACGCAGACGTCGCAGAGCTGCTCCACATGGTCGAGGCACGGCGGGCCTCGCACCATCTCCATGGCACTTAAGCCGCTTGAGGCCTCGAAGTGAAGGTGCCGGCGCCGTGTCATCACGCACGCCTCGTCGTCCGACGAAAGCGGCGAGACAGAGGGTTGTGCCACACCGCACGTTAAGGATGTAGAGTCGATTTGCGCTTCGGATACCTTGGCAAGAAGGCGGCGACGGCGATCCCAAATCCTCATGACTCCATCCTCAACCACCACGCGAACCATTCTCATCCATTGTCCCAAGGCGATGATGGAGTTCCTCAACGCGGGGATGTAGTAGACTCCGGTGAGCGACTGTGCTCACCGTAGACACAGCGGTGAAGATGATGGAGCCGCGCGCCTTGATCTCCACGCCGGAGGCATCCCCAAACTTGACGGAGCCTCGGACGCTAGAGTCAAGCTCGGTGAAGAACTCCCGTCGACCGGTCATGTGATGGGTGGCGCCGGTGTCGAGGCACCACCCATCAGTCTTGTCGTTGCCGAAGCCGTCGCCGAGGAGGGCGTGTGCTTTTGGCTCGTCAAGGTGGAGGAGAACCGCTGCGGCCGGTGCCGCTGGAGGTAGCTTCGATCTTGGCATGTGCCATGAAACGAGCCGGTTCCTCCTCCTCCTCACTTTGGCGGCGTGTGGGCCGCCGCAGCGTGGTGGTCGACGATCCTTGGCCCAATGGTTAAGGTGGCGCGATTGCGGCAGTGTAAATCTCGTGCCGGCTTAGCTTACTGCTGTGGCGGCGCCGCCTGGCGCGCCTCGCGGCATCACCCTCTCAGACGTCCTCGCGCTTCGCCGGCCGGCGTTCTGCGGCGCTGCTGCGCTTGCTTGCCACGCTTGCGGCCGCTGTCGCGGAAGAAGGCTCCCCTTCCTCCGGTCACCTTGGCCGGCAAGCCACCGCTCCCAGTGAGAAGGAGCTTCCGCCCGATGGTGATGGGCCCGAGATGGATGTGGCTCATCGCGCCGACAACCTTGAGGCGACCTATCGCCTCCTCGATCGACATCGTGGAGAGATCCGAAGAGAGACTCGATCGAGCGAGCCATCCGCTTGTACTTCTCGGGACGCAGCGGAAGAGCTTTTCGGACGGCTCTCTCCTCGCCGTGGGGTGTCGTCGCCGAATCGCACCATCTTCGCAAAGAAGTGTTGAGACGGAGAGCAAAGTCATCAACATCCTCACCGGCTTGAAGGCGGGTTCTCCCACTCCTTGCGAAGCGCTGCGGTGTGGACTTGCGGGCGCGATGGTCGCCGATGCGTGCGCGCTTGGCGATGGCGCCCCAAGCCTCCTTGGCGATCCGCTTTGGCGGTAAGCGAAGCGCATCTCAAGGGACTGCAATGGCGATGAGAGCATCCGGCGCCCGTCGATCTAGGTCGTAGTCGACGTCGCCCGCACCGGACCGCCTCCCACATGTGCCGCACTGGAGCTTTACCCTCATCACCGCAGCCCGCACTCGGCGTAGTTGGTCTTGGTGAGGGTAGGCCACCCACCGCCGGGACCGGACGTCCCCGACAACGACCGAGCCCGTGGTAACCACGGTACCGATCCGGGGAGAGAGCCCA